ATTTGTATCTCCAATTCAGGCGATGCAAGAAGCTTCGATATGCTGACTATTGATGATGAATCGGTCATGAAGGCTTCCATGATACTCTCGTAGCTTTTGCAATTTCGGATAACTTCCAGCGACAAAATGATTGTTGTACTCATCTAGTTCGCCAAAATTAGAGGAAATGCCATTCCGTTTTGTGCAAATATTTCGTGTTCATTTAACTTTACAGAACCGTATATGACCTGACATAATGTGTCATACGTATATTGAACGAATGCAGTAAAATGTAATAAAATCTGCAGGATAGAATAAGTATACGTGGGAACTCGACAAATACGCTACATGGAGAAAACATCTCCGTTGGTTGAATTTTCTGAGGAACAAATTCGATTGCAGGAACAGAAAGATTCCTGCAGGAGGTTTCTACTCAGCCAATTGTTCTCAGTTATCTCAACCGAATTTTCATGCAACTAAAGGCCCAGGCGAAAGTTTCCGTTTACGGTAACAGAGATATTATTTCTTGTTAGCGAATCTTTCATCTGGTATATCCATTTAGTTACACGAACCGAAATCTTCTTTCTATGTATATAAAAATGTTTACCAAAAGTCACGCTATATCTTAAACAGTTTTCATATACAGTGCGCGTGTATTTCCTTGTTAGATGTAAGAAAATATATGTGTGTGTATATATATATGTGTGGAAAGGCTCGATTAATATGTCACATCGCATTATAAGTATATGACATTGATTGACTTAAAAATCAACCGTGTCGCAAATACATAACATCGGTAGCGCGCACGTTAACTTGTTCATCTCTGAGGAATTTATTGTCGTTATCTGCTAGAGTCAATTGAGACTCCAGTCTTAATTCGCATCTCTTCTGATCTACAAACCTCGCTATCTCTCGTTACACAAGATGAAAAGACTTTGTCTTTATCACATGGAGATTAAAGATTAAAAAATTCGAATCAAACGATAAGTTTGGATCGTGCTTAAATGTATAACTTACTTCCACCATCTTCGATACGAACCATCGAATCCTCGAGAAGACGTTCTCGTCCAACACTCAGACTCCGATCGTGCCGAAGAGATACTTGTAGAACGTCAGAAAGCGGGCGATATCGGCGTTCCGATTCGTGCTCGATCCCATTTTCAAGTCATTCCTTGCAACGTCTCACTTTCGCAAGGTTCCTTCGTCGTTTCATTGTTGCACTGTTCAAACTGCCACGATGACTCCGCCGGTTTCCCTTTTTGCGTCCCCATGCAACAACACATCGTTCGATATCCGATTTGTTGCATAGGGACGCGAGGTTTGTGAAACTTGGAGCAACCCCTTCGCGGTAAGCAAGCAGCTGGATTTTTTTTCCAGCTCTATTATTCATGTCTTGGACTCGCGCGGTTGCCTTCGTGAGCACGCGGATGTAGTCCGAGTAAGCGTTTGTATTTGTACAAATAATACGGTTACGAGAGACTCGACATACTCATTCACGTTACTTACTGATGTTTGCGATAATAATACATCCACTACCGTTCGGAGAGATATTCTGTTTACTGGTAAATAATAAATTTCAGTTGCGACAGAACAGATAACCGGTCTGTCGGAACTTGCCGTTCCGTTCTTCATCGGCGAAGAAATTAGTGTGTCGTTTAGATATGCAAGATAAGTGAGTGCATGTAAGAAAGAAGATCTCAAACGCAGAGGAAAAATTCTGATACAGAAGATTATAGAAAAATATGGTATTAATATTAATTTTACGATTTTTTACGATACTGTTACTGTACGAAGTAATTCCGAGCGATATGTTTTCCTTACGATTATCAATACAAATTGTAGCTAATAAAAAGTCTATAAACATGATAAAAACAATAGTAAGTTTATTTTAAGATTTCCAAATTGCCCCCGCGAGACTGAGAATTATCCCGAGTAAAGAACAATCTGATAATCGTTTCGTGACTCCGTGTGTTCTCACGCTGATGAAATTATAAGAGATTGTGCGTTCTGCGATTTATTTCATCACAACGTGTGAGTACAAACATTCGAGCTTATCTTAATGGTCTTATCTAACATTTGGCAATGTACGTTATTAATATCGCGGCATGTGCCATTAGGTAAGAACGAAAGAGACCAAGGTGGGGGAAACACCGCGTTGCAGTTATCAGTCGTAATTTATAATCGTGTACCAACAATATATTTAATATTACACATCTATCATAACCCTGAGAACGGAGATGTAGGAGCCTGTGGCTTTGATGATTTCCTTGAATGAGAATATATTCATCGGTAGGAACTTGCCGGCCGTGATCTGATGCGGTATCCTGCCGCGCATCATCACCATCGGCAGATTCCTCATGAGCTTCACGTCGAATTCATACCAGATAGTGCTATAAACGCTATACGACAGCTTCGCGGTTACGGACTCCAGCTGATCGCCAGCGTAGCAGTAGAGGTACAGCTGCACCAACATCGTCAGGATCAGAACGACGTGCTTCATCGCCGCGATATTGTCGTTCAGCTTCAACGAGATGATCAGTTGCGTGCCTGAAAGCAAGCCCAAGAGACGAAAAGAAAGACAATGACCTGCAACCTTGTGTCGCGAATCACGATGGCTCGCGTGTTCGAGATTACAATATACCTTCCACGCAAAGTAGCAGCACACTCATCACTGTCTGCGCGAAGATGGCCATGTTGAAGGCGTACTCGAGACTGTCGGCCAGTCTTATCAAATGGCAGTGCCTGATGATTAACATCCCCATCTTTTTGTGACAGGCATGCTTCTCCACTTCGATGTTGGCGAAGTCCATCTCAAGCACCTCGAATTGGCCGCATAGGTGCATCGCAAGGCCGAAGAAGAAGCCGTCGTTGCCGCAGTGCGAGGTGGCGTTCACGAAGATCTGCGCCATTTGCAGCAGCAGCACGCAGCCGTGGGTGATCGTGGGCAGGTGACCGAAGACGCAGTAGGTGGCCAAGAAATACGTCGGCACCGCCGTGCCGTTATGCTCCAGCTTGGTGATGTTCAGCCAAGGTAGCAACACGTCAAATGGCAGCGCCATGAAGAGGAAAGATACACCTGACGCGTAACCCAGATACAACATCGTCACCGACACGATTCTACCGACGTTGGTGTACCTCAGCATCACCTCGCGCTGCTTCTCGTCCCTGGACACCGACCAGTCGTGGATAAGCGAATTTACCAGAACGTAGCTGTGTTTCCAGGTCAGCCGGACGACGAGGAGCTTGGAGAGGCTGACGACAGACGAGAGGTCCATTAGAAAGGCCTCCATCATGTCCTCGGTACCGAGACACTGCCGGTACGCCTCCAGAGACAGGCTGCCGACAGTACTGATCTGATCGTCGAGGCGATCGCGTTAATTCGCGAGGATCTCCTTTAATTTCAGTCATTAATTATTTTTCAAGCTAAAGCCTTATAGATATTCAAACACTTTGGTTAAAACACAATAGACACATCAGCTCCGAAGAGACGCAGGATCGATGTGTGAGGAGGAGGAACGACGGATGAAGGTGGAAAGACGGCGCTCTGTATGACGAGTTTCGTGCAATCGTTCCGTTAATCACGGCCGAATAATTATTTTCTCATTACACTTACCTGAATCAACATAGCTAAGATGCATCGCGCAATTGACTTGACGTCTCCCGCGCTCAAAGGCCAAACTCCGATTAACGTGAGAACCTTTTCGTACACCCCTAGAGCCAGATGAGCGTCGTCGTTCCAATATCTCGCTTGCCCCATCATCAACAATTGTCGACGCTTTTTCTGATCTTCTTCAGATATCAATCAAACGTTCGATTGAGCCCGTGTGAATCCGATCGTGCCCTACATCGAGTCAGAATCATTCACGGGAGTCCAAGTATCACTTAACAAGAAATCACTTTGCGATGCATGAAGGCTGAACACGTTTCATTTAAATACTTGTCTACACGGAGAAAATATATTACACAGTTTTTTTTATATAAATTATTCTTAATTTTATGTTTTCAGTAGTACAGGAATAGACTGTCAGCAAGATCTGTCTTGCTAAAAAACAATAAATTTCGCTGGAAATTCGAATAGCAAATTCGTTTAAATTGCACATTTAAGTTCTTCAAATACAAATAACATAAAATGAAAAAATAATAAATTACTGCTAAATCGACTAACTCGATTTATTCCTCAGCTACAAAATTCTACAGTAATTTTTATTATAAGATTCTCTCCCTACGATGTTCCGCTGAATTATTATTACACCTCATTATACTTAATCCGTCTTTTATCATTATGCAAACGCACCATTTACGGCATGCCGGTGTATCAGGACGCACTGTTTGGCGGCGGATGATTCACATTTATTCTGTTTGACGTTGATCTCAGGATTCGGTTCTTACGTTGCGACTGCGAGTGATCGCGTAACGACACTAGCGATATTAGTGAAGTTCGTTTCGATGACGTTTATTCGCTTCTTTCGTCCTGTACGTCGGTCAAACTTCGCATTTGCTATGACAAAGGCTCGCGGCACGTAAAGCCACCCCACATTGGGTGGGGGGTGAGGATCTCCGAGAGGGGTGCTTGTCTTTGATCTTTTATTCACGCGGAGGATAGCGTTGCCTTGTTCTTTCCTGAGAATAGTATCGACACGGCGAAATCGCGCGTTTTCGCAATTGCACGTCGCTTTGTGAACGACACACCTTGCGCGATTCAAACTTCCACCGATTGCAGCTCTCTGTCAAAGCTACTCCAGAGGCGTTTCTATGAAGCATATACGATGTTCGTGTATACGGTATGCAGAGCGGCACTTTCATTTGAGAACGCGTCTCTTTCATTTGGCAACGCAACAATAGAGGATTCGGGAAAATTAATAATGCAACCGAGTCTCTATATTGCAGCCGGAACCAAAATCGGCTCACTGTAAATATGTACTGTATTGCACGACATGACACATCTCCTCCTGCATTGTGCGTGAAACGTTAGTCTATTCCGTTTCCCGATGTCAACGTGGGTTCAAATAACTAAAGTCGAGGCAAAAATGTCGTTGAAGAGAAACTCATGTCGCACCTTCATCAAAATACCGCGACATTTGCTCGCAAATTTTCAAAGTCAAGGAACAAACCTCCATCGATTGCATAATTTGTAATTAAGCTTTATTTTAAGTTACTTCAAGCTAATCTATAAATTCTTTCTTCAAATTCAAACATAGCTGCCGAAGTGACGAAGGAAGAGCGGGAAATTTTGTCGGCAATAATTGTTCTAAACAAGTGCAATGGTATTGCACAGATGTTGAAGATCTAGACGTGAAGGAACTCACTCGTCCACCATAACGCGCAGGACCGACAGATACGATGCCGTGGACTTCAGGATGTCCTTGAACGTTATCATGTTCATTACCACGAATTTCCCGGCTGTCAGTTGATGAGGGATACTGACTCGCATCAGGATGAATCGTATGTCCCTGGCGATGCTGGCCGGCAGCTCGTACCAAGCGCAATCGTAAGTGGCGTAGGACAGCGCGGCGCTCCTCATCTCCAGGCAGTCGCCGGCGAAGGTGTAAAAGGACAGTTGGATCATCATGAGCAGTAAAACGCTAGCGTTATGTATAATCATGGGCACGTCGCCGACTTTCAACGATACTATCAACATGAATCCTGAAAGATGTTACTGCATTAAGCACGCGCAGGTACGTTTCGACTTTATAGTTACAACATTGATATCTCGGCGGATCTCAGCCAATTGTTCTTCAGCGTTCGTTTAGACTTTTTAAGATTCTCGTAATCGTTATTGTGACTATCGAACGAACCCGATCAAAAGACAAATCTCACGAACGGCTCGGCTCGATGGAGCGACTTTGATCTTCAAGTATCAATATCGGGACACGTGCCTAATTTTCTGAGCATTTTGACCTTTAAATATGTAAAATTTTGACATTTAAACTTTCAATGTAGAATATGTGTATATATATTTTCTGCTCTGAAGTTTAAATATTTAAAAGAGAACATCACGATGAGGGCAAAGAGAAAAAGGATATTAGGTACGCGCGCCCGTATCTAGAAATTGATGTTTTTATCTTAAAAATTTCACTTCTATAGCCGGTCATAAAGGGGGAAATGAGAACGTTTAGCGTTATTTACCGTATCATTTACCGTCTATACACATGAGAGTGGTGGTCACGAACAGGTATATCAAAACATTCGCGTTAAACGACTCCTCCATACAATTGGCCATGCGAATGAGGTGGCAATGTCGTTTGACCGCTTCGGCTATCGCGTAACGCGCCCGGTCGACGCGAAAATCGGATAGTTGAATGCTGAGCGCATCGAATTGGCTGCACAGGTGCATCGCCAGGCCGAAGAAGAAGCTGGTAGTGCCGAAGGTCAATATGCCGGTGATGAACATTTGCATCGCCTGGACGACCATGAACGCTTGGCGCGCCGCTTCGCCCCGAAACACGCAGGACAGCATCTCGTTCGCCGGCTGGCTCGCGCTCACATTGTCGATCTCGCGATCGAACTCAGCCTCCTTCGCCGTGACCGCCGATACCGCCATGAAGATGTAAACACCCACTATGACGCCCACCAGAAAAAAGGTGAACGTCGTCACGCGTTTGGACAGCGTCGCGTACTTCTTCATGACCCAACGCACCCGCTTATCCTGCTGCGTGGCCCAATCGTCCACCATAGAGGTGACCACTTCGATCAACTCACGCCGATGAATGCGAGGTGTGATGAGCCTCGTGAGGGCTAACGCGGCTGCGGCGCATGGCGTCACATGGTCGAAGGATTCCTTCGCGCCGTTACAGTGCAGGTAGATCTCCGCGAAGTAGACGCACATCGGAGTCGCCTGGAAGATCACGGTGAACGGTCGGTCAAACGTCTCATTCCAATGATAGTAAGATTTGTTCGAGATTAGGTGCGCAAATTGTGTTATAATTAATCCGTGAGCGACCTCGGGGGTTCACGAGATCAATGACTCTGAGAGTACAGTGCGCTACACTGTACGTGTAAATATGAACATAGCTTTGAGCTAGAAGTTTTAGGAAGTTTGTTCTCTTTATTAGTCTGCCGATTAGAAAAGAAAAGGAAAAGTCGAGCTGAGACGAAGTACGAGAACAACATTCGTGTACCTACGACGAAAGTTGTTTCGGGATGATGTGGCATAGAGATTTGTTCCCCAGATTTGTTAAGGTGAAGAACAGCTCTAAAAATGGCTGACTATCAGCCCGATGACATTGTTGATATGATAATGGTGTTAGGCGAAAGTCATAATAATTATCGTGCTGCAGCAAGACTTTACGCTGAACGCTTTCCAGATAGACGACACCCAGATCATAAGACAATAAGTACATTAACTGAAAGAGCTCGTGGTGGACATATAGTTCGCCATCGCAGGAGCCACGAGTACGACGAAAATGATGCTCGTTCTGATCCAGATTGTTCTGTATCCCATGTGAATGGGTTGAGTGTCATAAAATAATACTGTTCCTGGGTTCAGTGTTCATAAAATGACGAAAGTTTCTGATAATTTCCTTAAAAACAAAACAGTCGCGCAGTGACAGTTCCCTCCGACCAAAAAAACAAAGTTTAATTGTTCGTTCTGAAATACGCATAAATCAAAATTAACTATTTATACATATTATTTATACATATTATTTACACGTATTATTCTGATGTAAGATGACTAACATAAGAAGAGAATTTGCGTCAGCTCGGTAATTACGATATCTCGGTAATTTATTAAAATTTATGAGAGTATATTTCGTTAGTGTCGAGACGTGTCGCTTGTCAGCACGGAGAAGATACCTGCCTCAAGAATCACGGCGACGAGCCATCTCAGATCCATGAAGAAATTCTTTTCCTTAATCGGCCAGATACCGACGCAACTTAGGACAAATCGATGCACCGATAAGGTCACGGTAATGGTGTCCCCATGCCACATCATCTCGAAACAACTTTCGTCGTAGATACACGAATATTGTTCTCGTACTTCGTCTCAGCTCGACGACTTTTCCTTTTCTTTTCGAGGACGCCTCCGCGTTGCATCTTTGATTTGCGTGCGACTGCGTGCAGCTGCGCTCATTTTTTGCAGGACATCGCGGAATATAGTGAGGAGATTTTTTCTCTCTTGATGAGAAAAAAATTGCACGCTATGAATATCGCTACCCGCAAACCCGCTACCTCACGATACACCCGGTGTAGCAGCGTGTCCATTATCTTATATTTATCACGTATCTCTTCTTCCCCTTTTCTCTTTCTCTCTTTTTTTCTTTTTCTCCCTTCTTTTCTCTCTCTTTCTTTCCCTCATGAAGATATTCGAGAATTCTGAAATGTCACTCGCAATAAAAAATACACAGTCATATCAATATGTCAAAGTCAAAGTGGAAAAGGTAGAACTTCTTCTGATTTCTTATTTATAGGCAATGAATTTAAATGTACATCATATTTTGCGATAGGTTGGAGAAGTCGGAGTAATGTTCTCCCTCTCTCTCTCTCTCTCTCTTTTTTCTCTCTCTTGTTCTTTCTCTTCTACGACGTATTTACTACGAATTTCCTACGCCTATAGAATTTACAAATTTATCTTTTATAAGTCGAAAAAGCATGACTTCAATATTAAATTTCAACTGCGTACATCACCGCATGCAATTGCGCCGCATTAATTTATAAACTACCGCACGTGCGGTATCTTCGTTTCACGAGGAGGCAGGAGAAACGTCAGGTTGTGTCTCGCAATCCGTACAACTCTATCAAGTAACACAGAAGTCGCGTGGTCCCCTCGTACGTGCTCCGTATCACAATCGTTTCGCAACGCGAGAGAAACAATTAGCTCAGGGCGAGACAAACAGAACGAGCAATGATCGCTCCTCGATTATTGAAATCCCAGCATCCAGTCGCGACTCAGCAACCGGTTGAACGTCCCTTCTTCCTCTTCTTCTTATTCCCATCGCGGCTCGGCAGCGACACTGGCTATCCGGAATCGAAAAGACCGGCACACCTTCGTCGGCATTCCCTAATCCTTCGCCAGGTCAACGACTGTCAGCCAAAAGTTTTCTCCGTGTCCTTACGGCTGCGTCGGAACCGGTTCTGCCGCATAACATCTAATTATATCTGTTGTGACGATTAGGAGAACTAGAATATATCCCGACCGGTCCGGTATTTGAATTCTTTCATGATGTGATCATATAGTGAGGCGACCTCACCACTATCGTGTGACTTCTCGTTAGCTTCCAGAGACATGGAAGCGCGTCGCACCACCAATTTGCATGTTGCACACCCGACAAATATCGGCAAAAGTATCCGATACCTGTAACGGTACGCGACCATTAATTTAAATTACCGCGGCTTCTAGCCATCATTTGTTGCGATTGAGATCGTCAGCGGCGCGTCGTCGGTTAGATCGTTTACGGTGCTGCGAAGTTATGCGCCTACATCAGATGCAACGTCCGTCTGGCGTCGACTAACAGATCGTTAATAGACCGTATTGTCAGCTCTCGCGTGCGAATACCGTGCTAGTAATCGGTCGTGATTATTGGAAACATACGACGGATAGGTGTTACGCCCGCTCGACACGTGTCATTCTCAACTAACCTTGATATATTCTCAACTGATAAAAAAATAACTAATGTAAAAAAGTTTGAAAAAACGTTACGGTACGCTCTACACGTATCGTTCTCAACGAACCTCGATATATTCTGAATTAATAAAAAAAATGGTTAATGTAAAAAAGTTTGAAGTAACGTTACGGCACGCGAGTATAACGTTCGTGAAAGCTTGTCGCGTAAATTATTCTCCTGTTCTTATTACTTCAAAACGCCCTTCGACCTCAGACAGTTGTGATGTTAAATGAGTAAATCAAGTAAGTAAAACAATAAATCAATTAATTAAATTAAATTAAATTAAATCAAATTTCCTGTTGAACTTTTACTGTAAAGGGAAACATTTTAGATTCGTCGAAAATCGACGAGTACATACAAGATCGGTGCACGCAAGGCCGGAAAATTGTTGATCTGTGCGAAAGCAAATTCGAGAATTTTAAATGCACGCAGAAAAAAGGAAATTCGAGCGCAAGTGGCGAGAATGTACCGCAAGTTTTGGTGCGGAAAACTTGCTCAAATAATATTGCGGCCGTGAGGACAGAAATCTGCATCGCGTCGGAGACGTGCAGGCGGTTCATTGTATCGCCGGCTTCTACGCTCCGAAGTCGGGGGACTTGCTCAGGTAAGTACCGTTCGACGGAGTCCGTCCGACGCCAGTCACGCCACAACCTTCGTCGTGTCAGGTGTACGGGCTTCTAAAGATATCTTCCGCGCATCGTTCACACACGGCCAGCCTGTTGATATTCCGACTAATCAAGGTACGTGAAAGAGAAACAAATCACTACGCCTACGTCGTCGTGGTAGTCTCGGGCCATCCGGTTCTCGAAGAGCTCCAAGAGTGTATCCTCGAAACGTTGAGGTGGTTATTGCGAGTTCGTGAGGTCGGCGCGAAAGTAGATCACGACGAGAGAGTTTACCGGTGTGAGAGAGATTGGAGGATGAAGTGCTTGGCCGAAATATTTCATCTCGCTGGAAATCCTGGGCGAACCCACGTTAAAACGGATAGGTGACGGAGAAACGTAGCCACGACAGGAATTCGAAAATTTCCGCTCGTTTTCTCTGACCAACGCACCTCCTCCACCTTGCTCATGCGTATCTTTGATTTCGTCCTGATTTCGATCAAGTGCCTGATTCGTACCGCATTCCACATATGTCACAGCTTTTAACGTACGATACAATTGATTTAAATGTGGCGTTAATGTGGCGTTAATGAATCTTCATTGACAATACATGGTACATTTTCGAATCTTAGAGAAACGCATATACCAAGAGAGAAGAGTCTAAAAATTAGCAAATATATATTTAGTGGATACTAACAGCAGATTTACTTAAACCTGGATTCTCTTATTTAAATAGAGTAAATAATATCTTTTATGAAAAATTAAGGTTTTCGTAAGGTTTGAAAGTATAAGAAAATATATATTTTCTTATTTGAAAAATTTTTATATTGGTATAAATAAAAATATGCTGTTAATACACTCACCAAAAAATTATTTACTATTTTTTAGATAGTTTTGCTCTCAGTGTATTGTGGGATGACTGATATCGCAAAAATTCAAAGCCTCAACAATTGATAAGTGATTAAACTTGTTGACACCTCGAAGTTTGGGTATATATCAATATATGTAATTGTACAAAAAATCATTGACTTACAAATGAGAAAATCAAATATCTTGAAAACAATCGGTTTGTAAGCATATACTTATCAAGATTTTTTGTTCGTTTTTGCGAGTTTTCTGTTAACCTATCAAGTATTTATATATAATCCTGAAATATTTCGCATAATACAGTCTAAAATTGGGACATTTTTAAGACATGTTAAGTACATATTAAAGACACCTTATGGTCCGACGTCTCAGAGACGTCTTATGTCTCAATTTTAGACGTTGTGTTATATGTGGGATATATTTATTACAAAGATTTTCATATTACATAAATATATAGATACGCGTTCGCGATTGTTTGGTTTTATTCTCAATTATAGCGTAGAAGGAGGAACGCGCCGATCAAAATTGATTTCGCGCATCCTGTCGATCGCGCCGGTGGATGTAAGTTTCCGCGAGACGTGCGCAAAATTTTCCCGACGTAAATAACGTAACGGAAATTCGAGCTCCAATGATCGTATCGCCTTTCCACATTGGAAACACCATCGAACACGCTCTACTTGACTGCGACTACCGTTGCCGCTGGCGCGGCCACGCGAGGGATCGCGAATTTTTCAACCAGCAATTCTGCCGCCAACACGCGTGTAATCGCAACCTGTGCCCGATCCGTTTGTCTTGCTGATCACGTTGGCGAGGTCTGTGAGCTGACCAATCCGAGATGTTAAGTAACTGTTTCGCCGCCTCATAAAATCGCTATTCACTTTGCTCTTACTAGAGCAAAGAGACGTCTCATTCACGCCCGAATTGAAGCAACGCGCGCGCAAAACGCAAAATTGCAAAATTAGAGGATATAACAATTTTCGTAGATATGCAGTTCTGTTTATTAGTTGTAGGATGTCTTGGAATTATATTATCTAAACTGAACTCGTTAATAAAACTCAAAGAATATGCAAAAACACGTGAAACGATTGTTCTGAGATATCGTGCATTTTATTGTCAAAGCCAATAATTTTTACACGGTTATGTGTAAAACATGATATCTTAAAAGCTCGAAGTATTAGAAGTTAAATAACTCGCGAAAATATCACGATTTTAATCTGTTCACATTTTTTACATTGGCGGTGATTCGCACCAAGTAACTGTAATCCTGTATCTCGCAATGGCGTAATTTTTAAACGTGCGTGAGTTCCCCATTTCACCATCGCTTCTTCTCTCCGCAGTAATTTCCTCCGGCTCTTTTTAGTCACGCTTTTAATGTTAATTTAACACGGTAGGACATAATGGATGGTAGTAATTACTCGAATACGAAAATGACGAATATTTACATTTCACGTACAAACATGAAATATAGATACATTGCAACAGTTAAAATGCAACTCGACTGAATTGCTGTCAGAGCGTGAACCTGAAACAAGATTTTTATCGAAATCGACACAGTCACAGAAATTACTGATATATATCTTTTTCGATCATACACTTGAATTTCATAGAACAGTGACGTGCCTCGTGAGAGAAATTATCGTTGCGTCAACGTCACCGACAAAATTTCAAGCGAGCACTCAACTCAAAATGTCATTTACATTGTTAATTGTTTCATGTCGAAATAACTAGAGAGCTGGTTTCTTTTGGTTTTGAAACATGGAAAATGCGCTCGCGATCGCCGCGAAATATTTATGGCAATGCGCGCAACGAGGGTACCTCTTTGAAAACTTCAAACGTTCGACGTTTATCTCTAGTTATTTATGATAATGTTTAGCCTGCGCTTCGACGATTCCTTGGTCAACCAAGGCCGGTCTTTATCGGTATAACGATAAGCGAGCCACCATGTGTTTCTTCACAAGAAAGCTGCACGATTCTATTTGTTGCGAACTGAATGAGTTCTAAATGCTAATATATAATAACTGTACACACGACGTCATGGATACTCGAATATTTTTTTGAATCGAGAGTTCCAGGATTTTCGGCTTTATGTGCGTATGAATAAGACTGAAGCTGTTATAATTAACACCGTTATAATCTTATCATTATAATCAGAGTTACTTATGCAATTTTTAATCTCAAGTATTATGTGTAAGGTTGAAAATCGTATAACTCTCAATGTGTATATATATAGTAAGTGTTGGAACATCCATGGCGCTGTATGTACATACAGATATCTCGTATAGAAAACTGAAACGTCTTTTCCTCGAGACGATGTCGACATTAGACTATTTGTGTTGATAATCTTACAGAATGGACAATCGTTTATCTCTTAATGACAAAATTGCTAAAAGCTAAACATTCATCGTTACGCGAAAACGTTTTTTGCCAATCGACAAGTGAGTAAGCACTTGCAATTATTGTAACGTAACCATAAATTTAACACACAACTACGTTATTTATGCTATAATTGCTCCCGTACTCGAGGTCACTCTCATTAGACCATCATTATAAAAAATAGCTAATTTTCGAAAGATAATTTGCGCGTCGACAATTTGCGGAATTGTCATGACACGTTCTGTGCATTTCAGGATAGTCTTTGCGTAAGGTGCACCGTTACATCAAGGTCACCGTTACTGCGCGATAATTTACACACAAAACTCCTTTCGGCGAAAAACCCGGCATAAAAGCGCCATCATAATTTCGCAATTATGCTTGAAAAGCAACGCCGTGCTGGTATAAAAGCAATGCCGTTAAATCGCCGACATTTGCGTATCATTAGTCACATTGTCCGGGCAGAGGCGCACAATTGGGACACCTCACAACGGAGAAGGCGGCCATTGCCTCCTCCTTGACCTTAAACCGCGACGACATTGCAAAAATTCTCGCCGCGCTTTCCCTCTCGGCAATCTGAGAACGAGGTGGTTTCCGCGTTTATTACTTTCATGCACGGGCCACGCGGAGTTGTTTGTAAAACGTGACAAATACACACATGAAATTAAACAGTGATGAGGCAACTTCCGTGATCGCGCGTTAATCGCCGCTACTCACAGAAACAATTACGTAGCAGTTTTAATGTAAACTTCCTCTGGCGTCCAGGACTACTTATGTCAACATATGCCAGTATCCCGGAATAACATTATTTTTTGGCTCAAACATAAAACCATAAAATGGAAAACCTTGAGAGGACTTTGGAACAAAGTTAAGTATCACGTTTCGTTGTATCACCGAGAAATATTCAGTCCAGTTGGGAATAAATATCTCAAAAATCAGCTAATCCTCTCACAAAATTTAGGAAAAGAAAATTCAAATATCACGTATCACAGTAAATATTGAAGTAAAATTTGAAAATGTTTACTTCTCTCAATTATTTTATTTATGAAAATAAATTTTATATATATTAGGTGAATGATACAGTATTTTCAAAAATTTATTTCATACATGAACAAATTTGTGTGCTCAATAAATTTTTTTTCTGAAAATATTACATATAAATTAAAACACAGGCACGCTTAGAGTTACGTGGTAATTGGAAGGGCGGAAATAAATCTTACATTTTTACACAACTGTTCGACGTTGATCGGCAGATATTACATAATATCGAAATGTGCACATTAAGAGATGTGACAATCGAGTCAATTCCTTATTCCTGCGACCTGCCATTGACGAGTTTGGCGCGTTGGGGTAACGATGACTAACAGTCCGTACCGTTAGGCCGAATCGTTATTCCAGCTGGAGAATGTCAATTTCATGCGGTTTACGGTACTCAAATTGCACGTTAGTATACACTGGCGTTGCGTCGATCTGGCGTTAGTCGTCTCGTTGTGACTGATCCCTCGGAATAATCGATGACGATACGCGACGATGTCCGTGTCGTCCAGAAAATAAATTAAGATCACACCGGTGATTTAGATAAAACGAAACGTGGACTTTCGCTTGGGCTCCAATCGTACGTTCTAGTTTGCAATTGTAAAATTAGACCCATATATTTTATCATTCCCGGAACCGATTTACAAATCTTATCACTAGAACACGTCATTCTTGTTTACATGAATACACAAAGTAAAGGAATATTTTCTAATTTACAATAATCTCTCTCTCTCTTCCCTCTTCTTCTTTTATATAAAATCATAACGTCTGCAGACGAAAAGAATGCCAGAAGAGAATCTAAGGAAGCTAGAAATGTGCTCTTCTTTTTCAAAAGAAGACAGTGCAAACTAAAACTCTGATTAAAAACGACAATATCAACGTGAATAAGTCAAAAAATCTCACACGTGTTGATCAGCAATCAACTGAAATCGCACGATTATGTGCCATTCGCTCCGATCAATCGCGCGTGCTCTACTTATCCTTTCCGTTCGCTGACTCAACGCATTCGTCATCGATGCTTTCGCATGAATCCGTGAAAATACGCGCGTAATGTCCAACTACCGACGTCGTTGTCCAGCAAAACGGCTACGTCGGAAAAGCAACGGTATTCGCGACGGCCACGAGCCGAAACGCTTCCGGTCTGTCGCCCGTACTTAAAATCCTCGCGTCGACGCGAAAAAAATAACTCGACCAGGATCGGCATCCAGTTTCGGGGTCAACGACTCGTCTTGAGGACCTTCGTTCGAGTGACTCAGAGTTGGTCCTCGTCGTAATTACAAGCGGAAGATTCGTCACCGACGAATCGACGCGAGTGCGTGATCGACGATGACGCAGCGAGATGCAAATCCTCGTAGTCGTAGTCGAAGTCGCGCCAACCAAATGTTGTCTTGCAGAAACGGAAGGATGTGGCTATCGAGGTCGTGGCTGTTGCTGGTGCTGCTTGGGCTGGTATGTGCTCGGAAGCCCGACGAGGACGATGCGGCCAGCGTCTTCATAGAGGAGGCTAAGAACCTCTTCTCCCAGAAATCCATCGAGAATCCGCAAGTAAAGCAGGTGCCAAGGAAAATTAACTTATACAACATTAACACAACTTAAAGACATCTAAAAGACACCATACAATTCCAAAAACGCCTTACGTCCCGATTTAAGACGTCTTGAGTCTTGTTTAAAAGAGTCCTGTTTAAGACTACTTCTAAAATCTTCATAGGTATATGCGATTATAGATTTCTAGACATTTATATAGACATTTATATAGATATTCAAAGTAGGAAAGGATATTTTACTTATTACTGTTTATTTACTACAGAGTGAGATCTTTTCTATTTTTAAACATTAAACGTCTCTTTAAGATGTCTTTGAGATATTCGAGTGCACGACGTAACATCGCGAGATTTACGCGCTTGTTTATCGCTTGTTTATTTCACATCACGACAAGATCTCCCTCTAATAAATATTCATACAAGACGTCCGAACAGTTGTATCTTTAAATTATACAGTTGTTAGATCGTTAAAAGCGTTAAAATCCAGATACGTGATGAGGACACGTGGTGATGTAATCAACAGGTCGGTGACATGCTCTTGGAGAAGAGAACTTCGACTGACAGCGTCAATCAGATCATCTCAGGATTAGGTAGCTTTATGGCTGGCGGTCAGAATAATCAGGGCTTCGATATGTCGATGGTAGGTTCGATCTTGAATGTTTTGAGCACGATGAATAATGACGGACAAGCGAGTCATGCCAAACGATTGGCGAACGACGTGGAAGATCGCAAACAGGAGCACGGTATAGATTGGGCTAGCGTAATCAACATGGGCAGCGCGTTATTTCAACAAAGTGCCAACACCGACATGGTGATGGGTCTTGTGCCAATGGTTCTGGAGGCTTTAGGTCACGGGACTGACGACCACGAAGGCGGCAGCAAAGATCATTCGGGTCACTCCTGGTTCTTGCCGCCCATCCTGGAGAACATTCACGTTATGTGGGACCATTTCAGGTAACACGTCATCCACATGGCGAAATGTGACAAAAGCTCAAGATATCAATCCTACATTAAAGTCTACTTCTTAACAGAAAATTATCTCGTTTGAAATTAAAACTTTGATTTTGAATCTGAATGATAAATATTAATGTATCGGCGAAGCTAGAAGAGATATGTGATTTAACGTTTATAAATGTTTTTTATCTATTCAAGTAAGTTTTGAGATGTTAGGAGTAGATGTAAAACGAAAGATTGCTGTGATATTTGGCACAACAATGCGTTGCAGTAATTCGGAACTCGGCCAGACGTTGTGGAAGAACAGCGGTCTGATGAAAGTGATCGCTCACGTGTCGGACCAGCACGGCAACATCCACTACGAGAAGATCTTGGAGAGTTTCGAGGATCCCGCTATACGTCGGAGGTGGATCAGGTCGCTCACGAATTTCGTCGCCGAGTGGTTGTCCCACGTAACCGATCCAGTAAATCAGCAACGTTACCTCTCGACCATGCAATTCGTCGGCAACAGCTTCCTCAAGTCCCAAGGATTCCCAAAGTCGGTGATGTTCGACGCTCAGAGACCAACAGAAAGTCTTATCAGGTTAGTGCAACAGTAATGTGCGTCTGTACGAAACCGCAGTCGTTTCTCAGACGTGTGTAACGTGAATTAACGTGCTTTCGCGTGTCCAGATTAGCGAACATGTTGGCACGCAGATATTTGGGCATGAATATCAACAGCGCGTTGTACGTAAAACCGGCGATATCGTATTTCCAAGAGTTAGCAAGCCTGGCCTCTGAGAAAGGATTCATCATGTCCCGAATAAATGCGCGGGAGTTAAGCAACAAACTGAGCGATACCATCAACAACGATATTATTTTTCCTATGCTCAAGGTATATAATAATAATATCTAATATAACAATAATACATAAGTGTCTTTTACAATGAATTCTCGCACGTAAGCTTGTACTTTACTTCCGAAAATTTCATTGCAAAATAATATTCCACTCAACACAATGGCATGTCTCAAAGGTATCTTAAAATTGTCCATAAGACGTCTTATTTTTCTTTTAGACATTTTTTCGACGTTTTTGAAATGTCTTTGAGGCATACTGGTTGTTTGAGAAGCTGAAATTCCTTAGGAAATTTTACTACCTTTAAGTATCATTTTACCGCAGAACGTCAAGAAATCTTTTTATATATGAGAGGAGTTCGTAAATTTGCTTCAAATTGAATTTCGATGATTTTCAGGCATTTCGAGCGTACAAGTGGGCATCGAAAGTGCCGCACTGTGCTAGTCAAATCTTGTGTACCATAAACGAACAAAGTGAGCAGGACGACAGTCGCGACAAGAATCTGAAGATACGTGGCATATTGTTGAAGGTGGCGAGTTTCCCTGCGGCTTGGGCGGTCAGCAATAATTTAGGAATTAATTTCTGGTCCCTGTACGGAGCCATTATGGAGCACGAGGGATGCATCGTGAGTAAACTGTCTCATCGGTCGCGAGAGAAAGTAAACTTGAAAGACTTTTTCTAAGGTTCCTGGATATTCGTAGCCGTATTGGATTGCGTCGTCAGAAGCAAGGAATGACACATCGAAAATTCCTAAATAAAATTCTGGCGTACTATTTCTAAATAAAAAGATGTTTGTGTGAAAAAAACACTTCACATCACTTGAGCATATTCGTAAAATGTTTCGAAAACTACCTTTTTCCTTTAACTGTTAAATAGCCGTAGAAAGAACGTGGCAAAATCATGAAAAAAAATCGGTTAGAGAGGGAGATTGCATGTCACGTTAATTTTACGGCGATTTATTAACTGTCAAAGGAAAAGGAAGATAGTTTCGGAGCATCTTGCAAATATGCTTAAGCAATTTGAAGTGTTTTTTCATACAAATATCTTTTTATTAGGAAATAGCACGCCAGAATTTTAAACATGTGTTTTCCCGCTTCTGATGTCATCAATAAAGAGTCCCGCGGCGAATACACAGAAGCCTTGAGGTCTGTTCTTTTCAGATGAACTACCTGAATTAATGTACACGAATATAATAAGTTAAAGTAAATCAAAATATATTTGTTGCATCTCTAATTTATTGCATCAGTTCAAGTAATTCAGTTAAAAAGAACAGACCTTTAAGTTACAGCACTTTAAGTTGCAAAATAATTGCAGCATGTGATTGACTTTCTAGATAAAAAGAACAATAATCAAGGCTTGTCAGTGAAACTACTTGCTGCAAAAATATTGATATACTTTTTTTCCACCTCGTTGGTTCTCTCATATTATTCGCGATTATACAACTGACGATTATCTCACTCGCAATTGTCTCGTTTCGCTTTCAGAGAAAATATCCGGCGAACTGCACGGCCTTCCACGAAGAGGAGATCCGAGTAACTACGGAGAGCATTCACAACGAGCTTTGAGTTTAGTTCGTTAATCCGCGGCCTGTGAAAGACATTGCTGAGTCGCCTCTAAAAAGATTCGCGCGAGACAGAGTTCGTTTCTAATCTCTGTCCCATTGTATTTATTGCACAAAGTGAAAGGCGTCGGACGAAATGTCGCTGCGCTTGGTCCGACTTGGAGGCGACTGGAAGATCTCTCCATCATTGTGTGTGGAGCACCTCTTCGTCTTTTTCACATGTACATACAAGCGTGGACATTGCACGCGTCAATGTCAAATATAAAATTTTGCGGCAATACAATCGGGAATCCAAGAGACGCTGTAAATACGTGCAGAAAAGATAAGCGGAGCTTTTGTCTCGTAAACGCGATTCAGAACGTCCCCTGGACGTTTTCCGGTCTTCCGTGCTGTTTTGTTTAGTCCACGTTTCGAAAGCAACGCGTTCGGAGAGTACGTGCGTGTGCAAAACTTTTTAAATGTGCTCTTCCGAAGGATAAGTACTACACGGGTAGTTAAGACTCGGATTGAAGAATAAGAAAAAAGCCGTGTTAACTTTTATACTTCCTGTACAAAAGATCTTTAACGCGTCGTTTATCAATGGAACAGCATTTTGGGTGCGGAACTGACGAGTGGACTTGAATACGATCGCATTTCGCGCTAAACACCGCGAACAACCGTCGGAACGGTACGCCGCGATTCTTATCGTCGCTAATTAAATGGCCGTTGAACCTGCGGCATCTCTTGAAATCACAATTTCTCTTAATTGCTTATGTAACATTCGTTGTTAAAATAAAAAGGAAGTGCAGCCATGGACACTTACGTACATGCTGCGCTTTATGCTTTAGCGCGTTTCCGCGAAACTCTCCTTCGCGAGTGCTGTAACGACGTGGTGCTCAAGTCTCTGCTCTAATTATAAGTATAAATATTAAATTAATAACTATTATCTACGAATACGTGCGTATCTCCTGTCTCTCCCTCTCTCTTTTTCTCGTTTCATCTCTCTTTATTTTACACTTTTTACTAGACAAATCTATAAAAATGTCTAATCTATTTAAAACAGCGAGAAGGCACGTTCCTTTGCAACACAACGCTCATTATTACAAATCGCGATTTCTCTCTCTCTTTCTCTCTCTCTTTTTCTCTCTCTCTCTCTCTTTCTTTCATGCGAAAAAAATAGAATTTCGCGAATTTCTGAGGCTGATAACGAACGATTCGTTCCAAAATGGACGGAAGTCCTACGACGACTACTGGATACGTTCGATACAACGGATTCGAGATGGAGAATCCCACATTGGGCATTCAGACGTTCGCACTGAATCCACAAACGACAGTGTTCTCAGTAACTCCTTGTAAATAGTAGATAAAAGATAAATAAAATTCATGTGAAATGTACAACGGACAGTGTAAGTCTGCTCCTTCCGTGCATCCTAAATGTGAGGTAAACGTCGATTGTGTTTCTCGACCACCATAGTGCGCTCATTATTTCCTCTTGATGTTCTTACATGCCCACTCCAAACCCTCCTGAAAAAAAAATAAAGAAAGTCTTACGACAGTAAACGACAGTAGACGAGGTGGAACGAGCGACTTTGAAAAGTATCGTGTCCATGTGGCTCCTCGCAATTTTTTTCGCTCTTCCTGTGACCACATTCATTTTTTACAGCGGATACAATTACACGTATAATTGTTGCGGCGCGTTTCTCTTTTCTTAGTTTCGAGCCGAAGGACGGGTATCCTTTACACCCTTTTACGTACCTTTACACCCTTGCCCTCGATGGCGATGCAAGATTGTATTTGCCAATCACGATCCTTGATGTTGTGCAAACCAAGTCCCTCCGCTATCTCAGCCGCCGTCACAGCGTGTCCCAGATCCTGCTTATTCGCGTACACTAACAACGGCACTCCTCGTAATTTTTCCTCGAGCAGGAGTTCCGACAGCTCTTGTCCCGTTTCTTCGAGTCTTTTGATATCCGCGCTGTCAACGACGTAAATCTGTCGCCAGCATGCGTCAAGAAAGGTACGTGTTAATTTGCATTTTTCATTTGGCCAAAGGAACGCACAAGACTTCAGGTCCATACAATTCTCAAGGGAGAATTTATTTCGACCTATTTTCTAATAAAAAAATATTCCTAGGAAAAGTATTCCTAGGAAAAGTATTGCCTACGGATCTTCTACAGAGAAAGAAACGCGAGAGGCGTTACGAATACGTTGAAAATATCAGGAAGATAAACGATCTTTCAATGAAGAGAGAACCGAACCCGTATTCATCGGTCGTACATACATCGCCGTCTCTACCTGACAGCATGATCTAATGCACTATGTGTGCAGATGCTTGTTCCCGATAACAAACTTGCACAGCCCTGTCGTGGTGGCGTTAAAAACTATTGCCCCGGTTACTCGTAAATTTGCAAAGTGTTACCACTCGGTCTTCCAACGTCCATAATAAATACGTCGTGTCGAAAGAGCACAATAATAGAATTTACATTCTTTATGAAGCACATACGATTGCTCCCAATAATGGAAACAGAAACACGCCGTCATTCTACCTTCTGTTATTAAATTTCACGATAAAACGGTATTCTTTTTTCTCGATACCGTTGTGAAATTTTATGAAACAGTTACTTTATTAGGAGACGAGATGAATCTCCCAAAATAACGGCGACAGCTGATAACCTAAATCCATCATAAGGTAATATAAAAACACTCACCAGCACATCCGTGTTCTCGAAATAATTTCGCCAATAAGGTCGAATCTTTCGTGCCCCTCCGATGTCCCATACATTCAATTTGAAGCCTTCGCTTTGGACGCTCTTTATGTTGAAACCTTGCGTTGGGGTGACCTTGAGAAAATTAATCACGTGTCACGTGTATATCAAAGGTATCTCGTTTAGACGGACATTTATTGCATTTTGTGATAAATCGTCATTGCGCAAGCCAGGAGCTCACCTGCGTGATATCTTCGCTCGCCAGCGACTTCAAAATTGTCGTCTTTCCGGCATTATCCAGGCCCAACAGCAACAAACGCAGCTCTTTATCGGGATTCGATCGCAATTTCCGTAAAATAGCGAGCAGACCCTGATATTGAATGACAGTGTTATTTATAACTGGACGTAATATGCATGTCAAAATACGCTAGTCACGTTCGCTTTACATCTTTTTTCCATTTCAGTTGCAAAGATAAATTCTTCTTGCCACGAATATAAATAGAAAAATTATAAAATATCATGATTCTGTATTACCTTATGTTTTATATAGTGTTTGCGCAATTCGATGTCATGAATATCTACTTTGAATTATTGATTTTTTTACGTTCACTATATAACTTGTCTTTCAAGCATTGCGCTTTTATAAAAGAAATTGTAGTTTTGTATTTGCGTGAAAATTGTTCTACTAACCTACATTCGAAAATTAAGTAGTAAATAAAATTGATAAATGTAAAAACTTGCGCTATTGTGCGCTTCAAAGCTTCGAATTATCCGCGTAGTCAGTGCGTGCAATCTCATAAATCCCCAAAAAAGAATTCCCACCCAATTGCATACACGCGTAAAAGGTTATGGCGATGGTGTATAGCTTCTGATCTTATCCGAGTGCGTAAGTACAAGCGCAGTACGTGAAAGGATATAAGTGGGTTCTCATATTGTAAAGCAACGAGGAAAGAATAGTTTTTGGTAACGGAGTGTTTTCGCAATTTGTAAATTCCAATGCAGTGCTCGACGTAAATGCATTTTCCGCAGTGGTCTTCGAAGGTTATGTTTTGGTTGTACGTGCTTTGGAGCGTGTAACGCAGGAAAAGAAATAGTGCGTGTCATTGTGCATTTGTATTTTATTCACGTGATGTTTTTACCATTTTAGTTGGAATTTCAGGTACCGGAGCGGAGACGCAGTAACGATTTACTGCAATACGTCGACGACTTCGGTGCCGTTATATCAAAATGTTGTGTTGTTTTCCTGGTATCCAAGGGGGAGGCAGTGACATCTGTCCACTACGACCGATATCACGTGGTTGCCTGCTCGCTTGATACCGTTAGCAATTGCATCCGAATTATCGCACGTTAATATCGTCCTTATAAAATATCTGCAGTTGGTAAATAAACTACAGTCGGATAAACTTCCCAAAAACTATCCTTCCCCCAGAAGATATTCAAAAATAAAAATACGCAAAATGATCTCGAAGTACATAACTGAAGTTATGACTACAGTAATTAAAGTTTTCTATTAACGAAAAAAGACAAACATGTACAGAATAATTAATCCTAAGCGAAACACCAATTTTTCTCTAGAACGTTTTTTAAAAATAGTGTTTTTACATTGGACAATACTTTCGTTAAAAATTACCTATAATAAAATTAATTATAATATAATAAAATTGCTTATAATAAAAAACCTACAGTTTTCTGAAAAATATATCAAATAAAAGTTTTAGGATCTTAAGATCCGTTTAATTCTGCAACCAAAAGACTTTTCCCGAATTTATTATTAACGTTTAGAGCGTATAAATTAAATTGAATGTGAAACAAAACTACTTAAAAATGTTGCGTAAAAGAACGAAAGAACATATTCCATTAAGACAAGAATTCTACAAAGTTTGAATATTATCTTTGATTTCTTGATTAATGAGTTTAGAATATGAGAAATTTTTTTATAAACGTTCCAGTAAAAATCTGTATTTGGGAAATTTAAATTTAGACATTTTGTTTTCTTTTCTTTTTATTTTTTAAATCGATGAATTCGTGCACAAAGAATGAATATTTCGTCAAAATATATCACGTGGATAGTTTTAATAAATTCAACCAAATAATGTCGTACTGCTACATTACACAATTTCATATTTATCACTTACAGAAATATGCGGGTGTATTATACTGGCTTCAACGCTAGTCCCCTGTTTACGTGTCAGGATGGAATCATCACATCAATATCACAATTGACCGAGATTCCATTTTCTGAAATAACAAATATCGAGATAGGTTGGAATTATTTTCTTTTATGGCGAGGCACTGAATTATATATCACTGGAAAGATCAGTGAGAACGAAAATGACGAGAGAAACGGTCCTCGTTTAATACAGATTCCACAGGAATCATCAGGGAGGTAATGGATATTAAATATTTCATTGTTTAGGCCTTCGATTTATCTAAAGAATTAACATGCAAGTAATTTTATAATAGGGCAGCGATTTGTTATTTTTATTACTTCATTAACTTTGTACAGTTGCAAAATAGCTATCGCTGGTCGGGACAACGTAATTATTTTGTCAGCGCGTAACGAAATCTGGAAATATAAAATGTATGACGACTCTTGGCAAAAAGTGACGCCTTTTATTCTGAGCAATGATAACTTACAAACCGAATATGCTATCAAAATGTCACAAGCGGGATGTACAGTGGTATTGACTAATTTAGGTATGTAAATGAGAAGCGACACGGATCTTTCCGTTTTTTTATTCAAATGAATCTATAATTCACTCTAAACTTCAAACTGTCGTCGAGCAATATATTTTTAACGAAGATCTTTTTTTGCTTGTCGAGGACGCGTTTTCAACGTTCCAATCTTGGTTGAGATACCGAAGAGAGTCAAATTTACCGACATTGCCAGTGGTTTCGACCACACTATTCTGCTGGCGGAGAACGGCGACGTTTATTCGATGGGAATGGGAACGTATGTAACATTGCTCTTACGCGCAGTTACGCGCGAATTGTTAATAAACTCTCGGAAATATTATGATTCGTGACAGACGCGGTCAGTTAGGGCACAACGACTTGGAGGATTGCGATAACCCGAGGCTGATCGAGGCCCTGGCAGGTCTGAGGGTCGTACACATATCGGCAGGTGGATGGCACAGCGCAGTGGTGACCGATCAAGTCAGAAAATTTCGTCGAAACCGATCAATTTCACTGTGTATTGTATAGCCATAACTCTTAACAATCGTCTCACCCGATAGGGCGATCTGTACACCTGGGGATGGAACACGAACGGAGAATTGGGAATCGAAAGCGAGGACACGAAGGTGCACGCGGTTCCAACTCTAATAGATCTCAAAACTAACAAAAGTGAAGATTCAGAAATTAATGTGAAGAGCGTCGAATGCGGAAACGCCTTTACAATTTGCTTGACAGGTAATATAGCTAGACAGGTATACGTTAAGTGCGTCGCGACGAAAATTACATTTCCCATCACAAAGTGACGTCTTCGTCTCTACCTTTAGACGACGGATCCTTCTGGGGCTGCGGCACTAACAAGTACGGCCAGCTGGGGGTACTTCAACAGAATTTGGACAATCCACGTAAATTCGTTCGATTGAATATCGGAACGCTCGATCCTAAAACAGTGAAGAGATTTAAGTGTCGCGAATGGGGCACGGCGATAATCACGGAGTGACGTTGTACTTTTGCAAATAAAATTCCAAATTGTTTCCCCAGTGTCGTGTGCTCGTTCCTTTCGCTTCTCGTCACATATTCCCTGTGAGCGTCTCAAAGATCTGTGCGGCTTCCTTCGCCTCGATCAACGGTAGGATGAACCGTCGATTGTCGGCTAATACTTCGTCCTCGTGCAAGGAAGACGGCGGTGTTCGGGGAGCTGTTGCTTTTAACTCGTCAATCGTTTGGTTATTTATTCTGATGGTCGTTCTCGTTTCTGAAAACGAAACACTCGATATAGCTTATGACTATAACATTCGCTGTGACTCTGCGAAAGTAAACCGCTCTAATGAAGTAAATATGGAATGAAGTGAAGAGTAACAATAGCCTGTTAGGTCTTACGTCTTTTGCCGTTGCGGATGCCGGTTGTTAGCTCGACGGCCCTCTTTTCTAATCGTTCGCGAAGCTGCACGTCGAACGGAGCTTCCGCGAGTTTAATTTCGCGCGGTACTCGGAAGGTGCGCGGCATATAAAAGGTATGCATTTCTATTTGCGTTACGAAAACTGCGTACACGAGAGCGTACCGTAATTCGTTAGCGTACCTGCTCAAGGACGGAAGAGATGAGCCTTTTTTGTGTCACCTATCTTTATAACGAGAAACATTCGAAATGACTGTATGTCGCAATTTCTCCCAAGAGATTTCCTAAACACTTTTCAGTTTTTTCTTAAAACTTGTAATTTTTAAATTCTTAAATTTTCTGGTTAATCTTAGAAATTCCTCAAATTTGAAAGAAGTCAATCTTTTTTTATATTATATATCTTTAAAATGATAAGAAATGATTCGAAATGGCGGCAGTTTCTCAAATTTACATGCTGTACGTTGCATCGATAATAATATCCAATGCGGCGTTTGAAGTCGTTAAATCGGAGGATCGAGTCGCCGCGTTTTCGATTAGCGAAATCCTGCTCGAGGATTTTTCTGATAAATCGTTCGCTGCGCTAGAATAAAAATAATTCCCATAAAACTCACTTCCTGATAAAGCAGTGCATTTCGTAATGAATTAATGAAAACACCTCCGAAGAACGCTCAGTTTACCTGTTTCTGTGATTTCGATCCTGCAAGTTCTCCTGAGCGGAAGAGAGCTGGTTTTCTCGGGACGCGCGTTCAGCATCCTCTGTCGCTAATTCTTCGGGCAATTTGTTCGTAATTAAATATTTCGCTCCACTCGCAGCGGACTCGTCGATAGCGAGATGGTCGGGAAGAACATTAGAACATTCGTCGATGAGCAATTCCCAATGCAACAATTGATCGCCGGCAGATATTTTCTCAGCGACGCGGAGGAACAACGTTCTCATTTCCTCGAAAAAATACTCGCGGAGGAGTTTTTTATCTATAAAAGAATATTCTATTCTTCTCCGCACAAAGATCCACTTCTTGCGGAGGAAACTTAATTACGCACCCTACAAATGTTTCGCGCGCGAAAGATATTGTATCTGGTATTTGCAGTGTGACATTATTTTGCAGCTCGAATTACTTAGTACCTCGAATTAATTTCATCTCGCCGGCTAGCCAGCTAATTAAAACACTTCTATAATGATCGTCCAGATTATCTCTGTAGCGAAGAACTTGAAGCGCGATGGTATCCAAGAACCAGAAGGCAGCCTTGTTAGTCTCGTAGTCTGTAACACCCAGAAAATCGCCCAGCAATCTGCGCGACGATTTTAATTATTCGCTCACGCGCGCCCGGAATCCTCATAAATTATACAAGATGCTTCGCGTTCAAAACTTCACCGACTCGATGATACATCGCGGTTCCGCCGTCTCAAGCTTCACTGTTTTCCCGACCAGGCTCTTAAAAGTGCTCGGAAGAGTCGGCACATACGAGTTTCTTTCGGACATCTCTCTTTCTCTCTGTGACAGCCGCACGAACAGCCGACAGAAACACAAAGTTATCGCGAGATAACTGTTATCGCGACACGGTCACTGTTGCATTAATCTCCGCGATCAATGAGACATGCAGCTGACACCGAAATACCAGCTCGAATATGTCCACGTGTATGAAACCTTTAGAAAACCAATAAAATTACTATTTAAGTGCGCGGCTGCAATTTTAACTGACAGAAAGTTGTGAAGGTGAATTATATCCGATGGAACCGTGCTTCTATTTTTAGTGAATTCAGCGCGCCCTTCTTCGACCCGTTGAATCGCTCACGCAGCGCGACTCAAGTTATTAAACGATTTCATATATTATTAAATTGAAAACCAGGTTACGTCGCGTAAAGTCATTCGCGTCGGATACTCACGCCTGTGCGCCCACGCGATATGAATGCAATCACATTTCCAGCGGAGAATCGCCTGTCGTTGACGACGCGTCCGTATATATAGATATATATATGGGTGAGAATAACACACAAAAAATCACACGCGGAGACGACACTCCGTTTTGTTTTTTACTCATTGGTTTTATTAATTTTTTTTCCATATTTTGTTCAATATTTTCAGAAAATAACACTCCAAAGCGAAAAAACCGTATATTCTCACCAATCCCAATGTATGTATAATATATATATATTATACTTCTCATATATAATATATATGTATATATATATAATATATATATAATGTATACTTTTATACTTTATATATAATAATATTATGTAGAGTAGCGCACACTTTAGACTGTTATGTATCGATACCTTTTATAATTTTATCGATAAATTACAAATATTGAAAAACATGAAACAGACACAGTCGGCGGGGACGCGCGGACTTCGGCGTGGGGACTTTTCTTCTCTTACGGAACCGTGAAAAAAGTTTTTCTTTCGCGACGGATACTGCCGCCCGCCGCTTCCACGTCCACCCGATCCGGAATAAATCAGCGGGGGAATCGATCGGCCGGCCCGAAGGAACGTCTCAAGTCTGCGAATCGAGGGAACCTCGGAGGAAAGGACAGAGCGAGAGAGAAAAAGAGAGAAGGAGAGAGAAAGTGTGGGAGAGGAGAGGAAGAGAACAATGCGATCGAACACGAGATGGAGAATCTTTATCTGCGCGACAAGTGTTGTATGTACCCGCTCAAGTTCTCGATTGAGGAGGGTCGCGAGATCCAAGAGCGCGTAGAATTGGCAGAAGAGGAAGGATTACGCACGGTGTGGACGGAAGCGGAAGCGGCGGGGTCTTCGTCTTCTCTCGTCGAACTCTAATAACTATAATATATAATATGTAATACACGTATACGCGCGAACATACGCGTGCCCCGGCGCGACTGACTTTTTTTTTATTTATATATTTTCACACCGAAGTCAGAAAGGCAATACGCAGTATGAACTTACTTAGTACATTTGTGTTTTGTGTGTGTGTGTATGTGTGTACGCGTTTACGTGTGTGGCTTTTACAACTATTTTTTTTCTCATTTGTCTATTGTTCCGTGCCTTCTTCTTCTGTTTCTTCCACTACTTCCGCGCTTTACTCTTCTTTTTGTCTTTTTTCTCTTCATCATCATCATCCTCTTCTTCTTCCGTCATTTGGTTCTTCTATTTTACATTTTTTTCGCTTTTTTGTCCCATAATAACGCCCTCTCTCTCTCTTTCTGTCTGACAATTCGCTTCGTTAGATCGTTCTGCCCCCCATTTTACCTCGCAACTCCCCGTTTCTCTAATCACTTTCGGTAGTCTTATTCCGTCTTCCCCCCTCCCCCCCGTTCTTCCGAGTCACGAAAATTATCCGGAGACACGTGAGAGTAAGAGGGATAGAGAGGTACGAAGAGGAGGGATTTGAAGGATTGGGTGGTCGGAGGGTAGCTGAGAGATAATCGTATACAGACGCGGCTAACGGAATCAATCAACGTTGAACCAAGGCAAAAAGAACAAAATCAACAAGTAAGGAAAGAAAAAGAAATCACATACACTGGTGGGATGGTGACAGTTGCGATCGCAATACGTGACATCGCTCGCTAGTTAAGTCCTCCGAGGAAATCAGAGATCTCTCGTCGAATCCTATTACGAAACGTAACTCGAGCACCCGACAAAGAACGCGAACACGCTCATTGGAGATGTCTAACGTATGTTAATCACCGTTGCGTGAAAAACACTGTTCCTATCAGGACCATACAATTTCCAACTCCTGAATTTGTAAATTATGGAAGCTGCATCGCTTATTCTTACTTATCCCCTTTTCAGTCCTCCCATTACTCGCTACGACATTAATCCTCGCGTCACACGTACTTCTGTTCGCATCCAGCGAATTTCTCCGCGTGTCTCTGTCGATTTTTATTTTCCGTATTAACAGTCGCTCTACGTACAGATACATGAACGATCGATCGATTCAACTTGTTTTCTCCAAGCCGTATTCCACACTAAATTAACTGATCCAAGACTCGAGGTGAAAATCTCCAGAAGAATTTCATGTTACTAGAACACGAGATTTCAGAATGATAAAATTACGATATTTCTGCATTACACTTATATATATATATATTTAATTACTTTCCTTCGCGATGTGTTTAGAGATCTTTTGTGATTCCAGAAAACCTGCCGGCGATTACACTTGTCTCTTGAGATCGCAACAGACTTTGAGATAAGGCGCGCTTCCCCGTGTATGAACAGTGAGACACCACAATTTCTCTCGTAGTCGGATTTTTTTTAGCGTGAGACTCATGTCTCATCGTATCGTATACAAATCACCGTGAGGATCTAAACGAGAAAGAAATTGGGAACGTGCAATTGCACACACACACATACACGCGCATATTCGGAGAAGCGTAAATTAACGAATCAGCTTGAACTGAATATTTTTCAATCGATTTTATTGAAAATAATACAACAAAATGTCTCATAATAATAATAATATTAATAATAATAATAATTAAAAATAATTAATAATTATAGATACGTACTGTTCTACTCAATATCTAGATAATCGCCTTAAAACATCGTTTAAATAATAATATTATCATCGTCATTTTAATCCATGTAATAATAATAAAATAATAATAATAATAAAGGCAATAAAGTTAATAATAATAATATATCATAGAATAATGTATCAATAAACAAACTTAATAGACTAATTACTCGTTAATCATTCGTCATCGTTCTCGATCGCTATCAATGGATCTTTTACTTTACCTAGTCATCAATAATGGATAATTAATTAATTCATTAATTAAATTACACGTTGCTTGGATATGCACATAGAGATATAAAGTCGTTTTTGGTCCCACCTAACTGCAAACATTATATTCATACAATTTTTTGTTATGTGTGTGTGTATCGCTTGGATCGCTTTACATGTATATGCGTGTGTGTTTACGTGTTGGTGTGCACGTGTTGCAAATAACTACTGTCCCGCTATCGGTAAAGCTGTCGTTTCTCTATTTTCCCCTTTGTCCCCCGCATTCGTATTCCGAAATAACCTATCGCGTATACACATGTGAACAGCATTTGTGTTGTCGCGTTATGAGTGCGAGTAACACTCGAGTCGTATCGTCGCGAGACGCGATGTGTCCCCCCCGCTCTGTGTGAGGGGGGACCGGGATGTGTGTGTGTGTGTGTGTGTACCGCAAAGAATGACACACGAAAGACGAAACGCGAAAAATGAACAACTACAATAGAAAGGACTCGCGAAGAAGATTCGGTTTCCGTACCTTCGGCGGCCGTAAACAGTCATCAAGGTGTACGCGTTCTTCGCGCGTCGCCAATAGAAAATATACATACACGTATATAATATATATATATGTATATATCGATGATTACAATGTATACATATCGCTCTTTTCCCGTGTCCCGCGCCACCGTCCCGTTGTCACTGTTCACCCCCGCGTGTCTCGTTAGCTTCTCTCGTGCCTCTTTCTCTCTGACTTCTCCCCTTGAACGCTCCCTATCACTCGGGGACGAGTGTCGTCGTCATGTCATCGTCGTCGTCATCGTCATTGTCGTTGTCATCGTAACCGTCGGAACACGCACTCCTCCAATTCACCGCGTTTAACCCCCGTCTTACAACTGGCATTGCGTTCCGTTCTCGTTCCGCATTCCGCTCTTTTACAGTACGCTTATAAGTTACCTAATAACATTACTCTCACTAGACACATCGCCGTGCGAGGGCGGACGCCGCGACGCGGGTCGTCGACGGGGCTCGGCTCGTTTACACGTCGCCGAGTGTCGTATCGACGACGCGCGTGCACATGTGTACATATGTGTCTGTGTGTGTGTGTGTGTGTGTGTGTGTGTCTCGACCCGTCCGACGCGTCCTCCCTCCACGTGAGATATACATATTTCTTCTTCCTCTTTGTTTGTTTGTTTTTTTTATTCATCCCCGTTTCCTCTCGCTTACAGCCAATTGAGATAATTTTTTTCCCCGCGGCACACCGGGAGGCGTCACACGCGCTCATCCCTGGTCGCCGTGTAAACCTAATTAATCTTTCTTATTAAGGCTACGCCGCGCGCAATTTTTCGCAATTTACAATTTCCTCGCACGAATACTGGTTTATATCAGTCTCATAATTCTCCCGCCGAGCCCGCTCGAGCCGGCGGCGCGGCGTTCGCCGGTGCGTCTTCGCGGCGAGTGCAGAGAGACGCGCCACGACGCCGTTACCCGCTCGGACCGGACTCTGCGTATTAATGTAATGCCAGTTGTACGCTTTTTTTATTTTTGCTCTCGGAGACGACCGTTCGTGTCGCGTTCATCTTTCCGGCGGGGAAAACGCGCGCACCCTGAGGACGATCAT